AGAAATCCTCCCGAATACGGGAAATAATAAGCCATCCGATGCCATTTATTTTCCAATCAATTATCGGCGAAATGGACTGTAAATAGACGGGCATTCACCTTTCAGTTGGCTAAAAATATTATCTTAAGGTTGATCATTTGCGAAAAGTCCCCACATAAACGGCGCTCAAACTTGATCTTTCTTCGGTTGAAGTTTGAGCGTTTCGTAAATTTCATCATTTAACTTGAGCAAGTAATTTGTTGAACCATCGACACGGAGAAATTCTGCTTGTGTATTACGCTAATTTGAGAAAATCAACGGCGTTGTGCCGAAATAACGCCATAATTGCGTCGGAACTAAGAGAAACCTAATCATGCATTCATGAATTCCGTGGGAAAATTGCAAATTTTATAGACTTTTCCTTGCTCGTATCTGCTGTTTGCTGCCATTTCTCGCATATCTTGTTATTGATCTTCATGGCTCTATGATGCGACTTCGTATCAGTAGCTTAATTACTGCAGCGTCGCCTTTTTTCACTTCTCGGCATTATCAGGCTGACACAGAACTTGCTCATTTTGAAATTGGTTTCGTAATATTCGCCCTCACAGATGTACATGGTTTGTTGCAATCACTTTCACTTAAATGCTTCCAAAACTGTGCATGGAATATTAATCGTTGTCGGAATTTATAAGCCTGTGCCAAAATCGCCCTCGCTGTAGACTCTTTCAAAAGAATGTACATTTTCGGGTCATTTAGTTTTTACGATTTAGCTGCCTTGGAGGCTTTTAAAACTTCAGAGTTTTTGGAGTTTTCGTAGCGCTTTTGCTTTGAGCCCTTAAAGCCCCTAAAATTAGTCAAATATTTTTGCATAAAAACTTAAGTCCGGGCTTGAAAGCTGAAAACTTTACAGGAGATTAAACAAATATAAGTATTTTTCTAGCGAAACTGCTTTTGCCTTACTGAACTGTTCGAAAAGGGTATTAATGTACGAAAAACCATATGCCCTCTATATATAAATTATTAATGAATGTTTGACAAACACACACCCTTTACAGACGATCATGCATCCAGGGGCGGATCCAGCTTTAAATTCAGGGGGGGTTAT